CCTTGGCTCTACCTAATGCGATCCTCTTTCCTGTATCGGGCCACCGCTGCAGGATATGCTTCTCCTCCTTCACTTTTTCCTCTGTTTTCGTTTTCCTTTATTTTTTTCTTCACTCCTACTAAGTGCGCCATTTTTTCTGGTAATACACCGAACGCGAGGAAAAAGAGGAGAGGACCTCGGCCGGGACGTTTCGGGATATCGCTTTTGGCCGACATTCCCGAACAGTCGAATAGGTGCTCGCCCGTTTCGAATGTCCACGTTACGTAAGGCTGTATTCCGTCGCGATCCAGTTTATTCGTAAGTTTCTCTCTTTGTTCCTCGGCTTACGCCGCGGCAGGCATATTCCGCTGTGTGAATTTAACAATGAACGATACTTGGCTGTTTTGGACGCGACAACACTTTTATATGAATATACACGCGCCTATCACATCGTAAATCCCCGTCGATGCGTTGGGCTATCATGAATTGTGACCCCGGAGAAGGTGAACGAAAGACAAAGTATCCCTTGGCGAATCCATTTCGTGTGATCTGGAATACCCGGAGATCCCTATATTGCATCGTAAATCTCCCCGGACGAGGAAACGATGAACTGCAAATTACAAATTTGGTTTCTATGCCTTTGGTAAAATGCCCTTGCTGTTTGAGAGTCGACTGCTTGGAGGTAGTATGAATGCCGATTAGAACGAATTTCAGATTATGTGTTTTAATTTTTAAGAATTTCTGCCGTAGAAAATATTCAAAAAAACATTACGCAAAAATCCTGTTTAAACTTTCTCAGTGAACTTTGTAGACATTTGTTTGTTTTGTTTTTCGATTAGGCGCGTTATGCAGTACTACAGGGTTAAGTGTCTCGGTCGATAACTCGTGTCGCTCGAGAGATTTCGAGAGCGAGACCGGAAGTTGGAAACTTGCAAAATATCGTGCTCAGAGTCCGAGCGTATCCATCGCGATCTAAGAGAGGGGCCAACACTATTCAGTGAATTCAGAATGCGTTTGGAGAGTCTCCAGTCCCCTCTTTACCTTTTCCGTTCTCGGGAAAGACCTATGAATCGTCGTCGGATGGTTGTGGTTCCCCGAGCGTGGGACACTTTAGACGCTATGTCTCCGGAATACGTAACTCGGGATTTTGAACGTTCATTCTTCCTCATCCTTTTTCCTTCTACACTCTATCGCCCAGTCTTTATGCCGCCCCGCAGCTCTTTTTTTTTATCGCCTACGTTAAAACGGAATTATCCTGTTACGCAAACGCTGAATTTATCGCCTACTGATTCGACCGTCTTCTTCGTCTGACCAAGCACGGACTATTCTACTTGCCGAGGTTCTCTTTCATTCGTGGTATTGAAATTTCAGAGCTCTTAAACGCGGCGATTATCGAGTGATTTCATAACAATTCCTGGACATTGGTCTGGGCTTTTCCATAATTTAGGCTTTTATTGTTTGTTTAAATTTATTGTTTTATTATTTGCTCATAAATGTATATAAAGGAAAACAGTTTGAAATAAGCATTACTTTAAATATGAGTATATTTTTGCTATAATTGCATCTGCTTCCATAATTTATTCCTTGAGTTTATTGCTTTATTATCTCCACATAAATCTATACAAACGAAAACAGTCTGAAGCAAGTATCATGTTAAATATGAAGTACGTTTTAAAGATAACTGAGTCCATTTCGATAAAACGTATTCGATCTAGACATTCTTTGTATCGATTTGCATGTGAGGTGTTTATACGTCATCAATTAATCAATATTTTCCGTCCATTATTCAAATGTTGGTGGACAAAACGATATTCAAATAAAATATCTGGCATCTGGCATCTTCATCTGTGCAATAATCCCTCAAAAGACGCTTCGATTATTATTTTTTTTTCTACTTTTCCTCCAAATATTTCATTGAAATTTCTACTTGATACGGTATAGCGCCGTGTAAACATAATAGTTTCTTTTTTATGCACGCGAGATGCTGTAAAGAATAGATTTATTATAGGGAGTTGCCTAAACTATCTTCGGTCTGATCAAAGCTCGTCTCGATCTACTAGATACTAAAGGTAACACGTATACTACACCGAAAACGGAATAGACCGGACGCCTAAACTGCATTTTACGACTGACAGCGTCGTAAAACGTAATGCAGAAACGCTTTTGGACCGTTGCTCAGCGTACATAAATTCGCACTGTGTAAGATTTCGGGCGTGTTATACGTTTCAGACGGAATCGTTTATGGCAAGCGAGGAGCGTCGTAATTTTAGGGACGATTGTGAATTTATTTGCAACAATGATCCAGTTCTATTTACTATTAACGAAATAGGCAGAATCTAGCAGTTTGTTTTATGAATTTCGTTTAAAATTATTCGAAGACGAAATTTCTTGAAAAAGAATTTGTAAATTTTAGTGGTCGATAAAAATAACATATTGGATCTTTTGTTTGCCATAACATATTTTATTTTGGAATCAAGGTAATTAAAATGGCATAATACACTGTTTAGCGAAAAGGATTAATTTATTATTAAGTAATATTAAGAAGTTGCATTAAAACCATAATGGGGTTTGAATAGAACTATATTATATTTGTATTTATTTTCATGCGATGCTTTACTAAACATCGTGAAAAATGATTAAATTAAACGATATGAAATCATTACAATTACATACAAAATTTTTAGAATATAAATACCTTTCCTCAAGAACAAATCTGTAAAGTACCGACATAAAATATCACTTATGGGCGCTCATTCGAACTCTCGTTGTGGCAATCACTTCCGTAAGTAACATGTATTTCAAGGATTGTTTCAATTGTCGGGTCTTCCCTTCGTCGCTTCGCATAGAATTAATAACAGCTGTTTAAACTGAATCCGTTTAATATTCATACGAAACGTCAAATGTAATTATACAACAACCTCGCTGTTACACGGTTATGTTTAATATGTAAAATTAGTTAGTTCGGTATTAAATTCATCATAAAGTTTTCATTACTCCGCGCTAAAGGCGTAACGATAACCGGTCGAATGTAATAAACATGTGCTTCAATATTCCCGGTTTATTATTTGCCAGGAATAAATTCTAAGCATAATGCCAGCCGTGTTAATGAAGATTTCGCATAGCGAAATTCATTGCTGGATGATGCAAATGTCCCTTCCTCTCGTATTTAATAGGAAATTTGTAGCTTCCTTCGCGGGCGTGCTCGAAAAGTTAAATGAAAGAAAAGTTTCGCCGTATACTTTAGGAAATTAGTCACCTTGCTTATCGAGGGGATACACAATACCCATTTTTCCGCCGACCTCCCCTGTCTCCCCGTCCCGACCACCATTTCCTCACTTAAGGGCGGCGTTGCAGTCTGAACTCCACCCTGATCCGCAAATATTGGCAACCCCGTAACAGCTACTCGTAAAAATCACTTGATTACAACCCCTCCCGTATCACCTTAAAGGTCCCCATAAGATGCGGCTGAAAGTAAAAAAAGTCATCTTACGACTCTTTTTATGTTCATTGAGTAAAACACAGAATTTGACATCGGGGAAGTTCGTGCTCTCTTCTTTTCTGTTTTCAAGTTTGGCGTTGTATATCGTGGCTTCGTTATTCTTCGAGGTTTAAAGTTTAATCAATTTCTTTGTTGAAATAAGAAAAACTGCCCTTTGAATTAACAGATAACTTTACATGGCTTTTGCGGCTACATTTAGATTTTGTGAAATTTGGTTTCACGTTTCATTTTGCTTAGTTTTCAGTCTAATTTATTGTCAATTTTTATGTTCTATTAGCTCATGACATTAAGAAAAGTTTGTAGAGTCTTCCTCGAAGCTTTCAAATTAGGAGATCTGGGTATAAATTTATATTCTCATATTCGTTTTGTAAGCAAATTTTAGTGATACAAATAATATAGGAAATACAAGCAAATATCGAAAATTTAGGTTAGAACAAAATTACATAATGTAAGTAATGTAAGTTAATGATATAAACGCAAACGGGGGTCAGCAAAACATATAAAATATCATTGTTATATTATTAATTCATAATTAATACATTTATTTTGAGAATAACTCGAAACGTTAATAAATATTCCACTGATTAATTTTCACTTATTGAAATTATTAGCAAGCGTAGTCTTTATTTAAGCAGTCGTAAAATGGTTGTCTGCTATCAAATTGTGATTCGATTCAGTCAACATAACAGTTAAGAAATATTTTATTTTCGTAAGACCACCGAAAGTAGGACACAGAAAAGCGGGTCTTCTAACAGTTCATGGGAACGATTATGGAGGGAAATCTTTGTTCATCAAACGAGGCGGCACGAAATACTGCAATAAGTAATCAAGTTAGAAGGAGATTAAGAGATAAACTGTTTCTACGTTTTATTTACCATAAAGCGGAGGTGGATTAATGCCTGCCCCGACGAGAAGAAGTTTCATGATTTTTCGGTACGCGAAATCGGAAAGTTTTGCCAGTTTAAAAATGTTTCATTACGTCGTAAATGCGGCCGACATGCTGTTATTTTTAACGACTTGCAAACGTTGTAACAAATTGGAACAAATAAAACACCCAAAGCAACCATTATAACTTTAAATTGGTAGTTTAGTAGTAATTCAAATCGTGTCTTGCTAGACAATTTTAATATTCATTATTTTGTTTTAAACCCTTCAATGCTCTTATCGTGGTGTAGCTTCTGTAGCAACAAATAATCTCTTACTAATTAGCGGACGAGTAAAATTTTTTTATAATTATAGATGGGGTGTATTTTAATTAAGAATCGCGTGGGCAAGTGCAGATTGCACAGATTTATTTCAAACAAATTAATTTTTTTTTTTTTTTAAATAACGATTTTAAGGAATATACAAAATTTGTAAATAATGAATTGTTTTAATCGCTGTTGCACTTTTGACAATATGTAAACCCATATACTGTGAACCCTGCGGAGTTACGTACTCTGTTAAGTAACATTGGTAACGTTCCAAGTAAAAAAATCATTACCGTTCGGCTATTCTCAAAACAATTATTCTTTTGTTTCAGGTTCTTCTACTTGTACCATTTCTCGTTCTATGCTTATCACTACCGATTCAATGGCCAGTACAGCAGCCTGGCGCTCCTCACATCTTGGCTGTTCATACAGGTGAGAATTTACTATAAAAATAGTTTATCTCTGCATTTTTTTTATTACATCTCCATATTTATATTCTTATTCTTAAATTTATTCTATTAATGTGCATATTACTCTATTTACGCTTGTTCATGTACTGTTATTTCCATTTATTATTTTAAGCGTAGAGCAAGCATGGGTAAATGTGTGAAATACAAACGAAATTTTACTTGGTTAGAATGAGATATGATTATTAAAAGGCGTGAATTTACTAATTCATATGAGCACTGTACGCGTTCAACCCTAGCGATAATTGAATATTCAATATGGTATGTTATGAAACACATATGCGACTCATGTTTGCCATATTCAGATCATAATTCGCGGCATGGGTGCGACTGAACAAAATTTCAAAGTGAAGAGTTTAATTATCTAACTGTAAACAAGATATATAGTTTGAATATATAGTTGTTATGTTAATCAGAAGAATTCGTGATCTACATGAAATGAATTTTATTATAATTTACCATGGAAGGGAAACTAATTTTATCGTGACAAAATGATCAATAAATATTTCTATCTAAATTGGAGCTATAAATAATTAAATATAAAGTCACACAATTACTTTCTATACTTAGTAAAATGTATAGAAGTTTAGGACAATGATATACCCTTACATTCTATTTATAAAATCGAAAATACTATATGCTAGTTTGATGCAATGACAATTCTACAGAGCAAAGAAACAAAATAAACGCTGCGCTTTAAAATAAAGCACTTTAAGGGTCTCTGCAAGGTTTAAAATCGTCGAATGAAATAAATCCGTATCGATATCGAGTTTCATCGATTTAATCCAACTTTTTGGAATTTACGGCACTCGGAACTATACTGTTTTCATGGACGTCGAACATCCGAGGCCAAGCAATTTGAAAGACAAACACATTTGCAGCCCTCTTGAGAAATACACCATGATCGATGTCAGGAATGACCGATCGGTAAGCGGAACGCGAAAGGGGAAAGGTACACCGTGACATAATTTTCAAACGTATGCTCATTGTTTGAGGAGAGCTCTTTGATAAGTGCCCGGCCAGCACGCGCTGTTAACTTCTGCCTGAACATATTTATTCGGCCGTGCAAGTATTCTCAAGTAGGTCGGAAAAGTATTTCTGATTAATGCCCGTTTTCACCACGAACGAACATCTGTTCTCGGCCGCAAACTTTTGTATTCCCGTAGGAGTGCTTACACGAAAGACAATCATTTCGCCATCCGCTAACGGCCTGCCCGCGCCTTAATCCCGAAACATTTGATCTAAGTACACGTTTGCCAGACCGTCTCTTTCGGGATGAAATATTCGCGCATTATTCACCCCGCGAAACGACGATTCTGTTTATTGTTAAGGGGGATACTCTTATTTTTTGGACCAGTTCTGAGGGATACGTATGACTTTTTTTTTGCTGTCAAAGTACTTGACTTTCAGAGAAACAAATTAACCCATTCGTTACTAGGTAAATTTAAAGCGTTTTGCCTTGGACGCCAAGATTTAATTATATTTATTTAGTTATATTCCCACAAGCAATATGTTTTTGTATGGCACAGCAAACAATAGCCGCTATATTTTTATGAAAATTCGGGACGAATAATGTTTTTCAATTACTGAAGTGCTCCCTAATTATGCAAATACCTAGAAAAACAAATCAATGCAGTTAGACTTTGTATTTTATTTTCAAACAAAATTAGTACTTCTTGTATCTCCAAGTAGTGAACATTTATATCTCCGGCTGTATTAAACTATTATTGCATTGGGGCATTGTTTGCATAATTTTGGTGCTGGTCTTCCAAACACTCGAAATTTCAACGTAGTTGGAATAAGTTCAGTGGTCTCGAGAGTTTGGAAATTCCACGCGAATGTCGAGTTATTCAAGGAGTCCAGTTCAAGAGTTCAACAAGTTCGCAGAGTTTAAAGAGTTCCGTTTACAGCTAGTCAGAGTGATTTGGAATTTATGGGCTTCATATGGTTCACGAGTAGGAATCCAAAGTTTAGAAGATTCGGAATAATACTTTTCAAATGGTCGAACCACAGTGATTGCTATACAAATGTGCAGATGAATAGATATTATCGTTTTATTTATAAATATTTATTTTTATTTGAAATGCATCGAATCTATGTGCTTCAATTTTAATTTTAAACAAAGAAAATTAGTAGAATATTGACAATGTAACGATGTAAAATGTAAGTGTTTGTATTTATATTTACGCTTCTGCAAAAGAACATTTGTTACACTCTTCCTCTTTTTTCCTTTCTTTAATCATCCTTATACGTTATTTAATTTTATTGTATCTATATTCACTGAATTCTCTAAACACTTCTTCTAGTCATTCTCTTCTTCAATTTTGGTAAATTAATTATGCGTCTGCACATATTAGTACATATTTATATTTGCATACAAAATCACTTCATCTATTACTTATTCAAATTGTGTCCAATTCGCTCGAGTGCTTAAAAATTTCTCGTAATCACTTTTTCCTCTTCAATTTTGCTAAATAATGCTTAATACGACGCCTCGGAAAGTATCGCGTCGTATCTCTGTTAATTTTTTTCCCCCTCAAAGAAAGGTTCGTAATTGGTTCTTCGATAGCAAGTTTCCAAGTTCAATGGAGTGAAACGAAAGGAGAATATTTTACGAGAGACCCTATTGGCTATCGGTGAAAGTCCTGCTATTGACAGTGACGGTAGCGAATGAAGAGCCGGGCCGTAACCGTTTTGCTTTGCAACCCATGGACCCGCCATCGCTCAAACCTAAGTTACGTAAACGCAACCAGGACAATGCACCTGACAGTTCAATCGATGGGAATAATTTAATGTAGTCTCAGGATTTCAATGAGCGAGGATAAATACCAATCAATTATAATTTCGTTGCACCAGACCCGTTCACGGGCGTCTTTTAACGGTATCGTATTGTGCCCGCGAAACATTTGTTTGCTAACAAGCCGTTTAAAGCGTGCATTTGCCAAGAGAAATTGTAATTACGCGCTTTCCGTGAAAATGTTTCGAAAAATATCGGGGATAGGTATGTAGTTTCGCGCGACGGATGATAACATATGATAATGAGAGTTTGAATTTTCGCTGGAATTTCACACGCAAAAATAAATTTTTCAATGGCGCCAATTATAAGTCGGGTAATATGATTCAATACGGGGCACTTTGATAATCCGATGAATCATAATTAGATGATCGCGACGAGAGTATTAACAGTTATTATTATAATGGCATTATAATAGGTAGCCGTTGGCGTTAATAACTACGTTTGACATGTGCTGTATATATTTTGCGTGGAAAAATTGAATACCATTAAAGTGTAATGGGAATGGCTCGTTAAAAGATACGAATGAATCACGGATTTGGGATCGTTATGGGCGCTGAAGGAATATCGTTTCATGTTACTGGCAAGTATCGGTGGTCCTTTATTTTTACCTGTTTCGATGCAAGTTTTACGATTTTTTGTTATTCATTGTCATAGAACGTTTTAAAAGTTACACTTTTTTAAAAATTGTACATTTATTTATTCGAAAGCAGTAGCTACCATAAAACGACAATAAATTTTGTTTTTTAAGATGATTCATGCCTGTACACTATCTTTATGATATTCAAGACACATAAATGTCTAAAAATTTGGTTTTCAATAAAATTGTTGTTGATTGTGCAAATTTTTACAGCTGTAATCATATCTGTAATTAAGAATGATGATAACAATGATCTTTGGTCATAATTTATTTTATTTTCTTGAAAATTTACAATTCCTGCCATCTTGTATAGTGTAAGTATAAATCAATATTCGAGTTGAGTAAAAAATGTTCAAACAAGTACTGTGAAGAATAATGAAGGAAAAAGGTATTGAATTGAACGATATTGAAATATTATGATACTTATTGATATTAAAATATTGATAAATACGAAAGCTATATCAGAATTTATAATTCGCCTCCTTTTTCTGAAAACGCATTAATTGACGAAACCGATAAAATGTTGAAAAGCCTGTGAATAAATTCCTTGTAAAAAAAGTGTTGATTCGACTACGCTACAACGTAACATATTTTTTCCCGTCATTTGATACTTATTCCGCCAGAATCGGATCCCATTCGCTCCAGTTACTATTCAATAACTGAAAACGAATCTAGTTGCCACGGTTCCAAGCGAATTTCGACAATATTCCACCATCGGCAAATTAAGTTACTCGGTCCTGGCCCAGTTACGATTAACATCTGCCCGATAGTTAAGCGCGGGGCTCGTTAAGAAGGCCACGCCAGGCGGCCAAGAGACGATCGACAATTATTTCCCGGGAACGAGTTTACGAATAGAGCGAAGCCGCTGGAAAATTCGAAAACCCGGAGGGCAACAAGACACGGCTGGGTAAACCGGATCGTTTTGATTCCTGGAGTCGGGCTGTCCTCCCACTTCTCGCTTTATCTATCCGTCTCACCCGTTCCTTTTCCCGTGTAGGTCAGAGTTCAGGCGATTAGCCCCGCGGCGTGATTGTATGCCGGCCGATATCGATGTCATCGGGCGCTGATTATCCAGCAAACGAAAATCCGATTTCCTCGGCAACCTGTTTCGCCCTAGTCATCGTTTTAACCCGACTTACTTTTTCCCCTTCGTCCCGACGCGAAATCCCCTCTCGCGACACCCCATTCTCTGGCTCCGAATGGTGTCGTCTTTTTTCAGAATATACTAGGCAAACATTATTTCTGTATGATTTTTTAATCATACAGAATTTACACGTTCGATAGTTGATTGTAATTTTATGATATCTATTATAAAGAAATTGGTAATTCTTATGATCATTAAATTAGAAACAGCTTTAATCTACATCAAAGTCTAAACCTAAACGGGTATCCTTAACCCTCCAGCTAATTAAGGAGATAAAACAATAATGCTAAAAAAAAAAAATAAACGATATTTTCTTGCATTTTTCAAAACATATTTTAAGAATCTTGCGTGACGCGAACCTATTTCGTTCCCGTCCCACCCGCGTTCGCCCCCAGACCCTGACTCCGAGAGGTGTCGTCTTCTTTTTCTGAAACGATGCAAATTCGTTCCGTTATACCCGACGAATCACCGTGGATACCATTTCCTTCACGTCGACGACAGGTGCTCGGTCTCGAGATATCTATTTTCTATATTCAGCCACTCTTTTCCTTTCCTCTGAAAAGAACGTCCTCCTGACGTTGTTTTTTTGTATCTTCGAGCCGGACTCCTCTCCGCGTCTCGGCGCTCGCGGCCAGAGAGAGCCGTCGCTGGATTTTTGCGTCGCTCCGAGCGAGAACGGATCGATTTACGCTGCCTCGAGAAGGAAGGATCGAGTAGGGCAAACCGGGGGCTAGTCGTGACTGGGACTATACGGGGTGTGTCGTGAATCGCGATGCAACTGGTCAGGTGGTAACGGTTCCACGAATAAAACGATAAAAATATATAACAAGTTGCCTGATTTTTAAAAATTCGTAGCTCCATTAATAACGAACATTTTGGATTGAAACTTTTTTTTCGCTGTAGATACCATGGAATGCTACAAGAAACATACAGAATGCTTCTCTAAAGTGGAAACTCAACTTTTTAAAAATGAAAGAAAGTTTACAAATGGTTCTACATATAACATGAATGGTTTCACTGTAATTTTACCATAGTTCCCCGTTACGAAATAAAATAAAAATGATCGCTAAATGACAAAAGAAGATTGCAACGACACAAACAGAAAATTTAGAGATATTGCAGTAGTTAGATAGTTAGATAGTCATAGTTGAGATAGTTCAGAGTAACGCGATTTCGGCATAACAAATTTTATTATTACTTATGCGTCGATGAAAGCTTATCTAAAGAATTCGATTGGCATATTTTGATAAAAATTTCGTCCCATGCGAAAGATCCGCGATCGTTTCAATAATTTCAGGAATGTCTTTATTTGTTTCTGTGATGGTGCGAAATTATTCATACCCCGTATGCGAGAGCAAAATGCTTGCAGCTACGTTGAATAAAGGTATTGTGTTCGGCAGCGATGCGAAGCGGAAGAGGAAGAGAGACAGATTGACGCAGGGATTTCGAAGGGTGCAAAGTGAACGAGAGAAACGATATAGAACAAATTTGGCGAATTTCCATATAAATTTGCTGGTCACGAGCGACATACACACGGGTTTGCAGAAACAAGCGATACCGTGAGGCCATATACACCAGCCTGTGTTCCGCACCAACACCTCTATTGCTGCCAGAAGTGGCTACTACTAACTCGCGAGCTAGAAATAAGTTTAGTAATTTTGATATTGCGGCAAACAGATCATTGTTAACGCTGTTGTCGATCGACTTGAATATAAGTATTAGGTGTAGAAATTAATTCGGTGCCTTCATGTTTAATTATTTGAAACTCTATTTTAAGTAGAAATATTTACACGTTATTTTGTTGAAGTAGCAATCAAGTTCTCGATTTGATTTCCATTAGAATGAATCCATATATATTGCATAACCTGAGTATGTATTATATTTATATTAAATTAACCCTTTATATTCACTCATTAATCATTTTAGCTCAAACGGAAATATTTAATTGTTATTTTGTTATTATATTCTAAATTACCAACCTTTCAGTAAATAGGATAATACAGGATATCATAGAGTAGAAATTATTATACAACAAATGAATTCATGTAGACTTTTTATTTAAACGTGATAGAATATAATATTTTCTATTTTTTATTTGTGATAGAATTTCGGGACATTGTTGGAGATTGTAACAAGATCTATTTTCCTATGATCTCATTTTCTTTGTGAGTGCAACGATGCCCCTGGAAAATGCATTTACTTTTTTTTTTTAAACTAGCCTCATGTTTTTTCTTTTTTTTTAAAGATAGGTCGATTTATGTTCTTTTGCATACAAAAGTAAAATCTGAGAGAAAATTGAGTTTCTTTTATAATTTTAGCTAAATAATTCTAATGTTTTGGATTCATGAGTATACTCTATTTCAAAGCTACAAAGTATACGTGGACATATATCTATGTATACATCTTGGAAAGAATTAATTAAAATTTCTTTCAAAACATAAAGTATTCCACCCTTCAATATGCCATTTGGTCTAAATCGAGACCACAATTCTAACTATTAGTTAAAAACAAAATGTAGGTAAAATTTGAGATTGTTCAGTTTATTAAATCATTACACGACGCAATTGCGAACTATTTAAAAGTAATAAGAGCAAGTACAGGAAGTATGAACATCCATGTTTTTTTTTTTAAATGATTTCAGCACTCGATGTTGTATTTCTTCCATCATTACGAGCTGCCAATGATCGTGCAGCAGGCGCAGTGGCAGAATCTTCAGCTTCTCAATCACGGGGAGCTTGGTAGGCCCGAACGTTTACGTGCATCTCGTCTTCTGGTACCCACTCACGAGGCGGTTCATATGCCCGAAGGTTTGCGTGCATCTCGCCTTCTGGTACCCACTCACGAGGCGGTTCATGTGGCCGAAGGTTCGCGTGCATCTCACCCTCTGATCGACAATGTCGAGAGGGCCGAACGTTCGGACGAATCTCGCCTTCTGGATCCCGATTCGTTGCCTACACGAGCTGCCACGGAGGGGTCCGAGTTGACAGAAGAACCATCCACGCCTAGCTCATCGGAATCGACCATTTCCGACGTTGAAGTCGAGGAAGAAGCTAAAACCGCGACGCATACTGCCCAGAGCGAACAAGAAAACAACGAAGGTAGCTTAAAATTTAATTCGAACTATTATCTAATAATTTCCACAGCTATTAACTGCTTATAAGCGAGTGTCTTGTCTTCTGCTGGTCCCCCTTCATGATCATTTTCATGTTTGGACGTTCGAGGAGTTCCACCATCTTAATGGATCCAAAACGAGCGGTATTTTCGCAAATTTTTTGCATGTAATGAATTGAAGTAACTGTTTAGCTATTTGTAGAATACTTCACGAATTATTTTTTGAAAGTATTTATTATTGTTTAAATTGGAATAAATGGTGTCAATGGTTTAAACTTTTTCAAATGTAAATAACAAATTCAGAGGTTCCTTTATTTTTAAAGATATTTGCTATCATATGGCGTGTGGATTTTTTTAAATTTATAAAAAAGTGGAGAAAAATGGATTTTTCTCAACCATTTCCTGCAACGCCTTGCAAATTATTTTAAAAAACATATCATATTTCACGATATGTAAAATTTCATATTCGGTTTGACGGTTTTTTGGATTCTCACTGATACCAGATCAGAAAGACGATCTTTTGAGATCGTTAAGATGGTGTAACTTTTTAAATCTTGTTTTAAATAATTAATTCGTGTCTATTTAATTCAATCAAATATCTTTTCCTTTTGATATCGTAACTAGTGTTATTGAATAATTAATTGCTTCATTCGAGGTATACTTCCTTTCTTTGAAGTAATTTCTTATTTGTTAAACGTGGCTGCTTTCGATTATCGTAATTGTTTATCAGCTTTTTGTGATTTCCCTAATGCTGTTTAAAGCCGTGCTCGAATGTGTTCGAGTTCGCAAAAATCTTCACGAGGTTTGAATCATTTTACAATGTTAACCGCTTACTTTGTAGATCTTGTGTCACCAACACTCGTCGTTCTAACGCGGCTACGTATTGTTTGGTATACAATATCTCTGGATCGCGTTTCATTCGCCCTGCCGAACTAGCATTGTTTATTTTCACCGCTTTTAATTCTACCTACCTGGCACTTCTGGTGATCTGAGCAATCGATAATCCCTTTTAACGAGTGAAACCGATATGTCCAAGAATTTATAGGATTTGGAGAGGTGGTCTGCCCTCGTTCTTTACTATGGTATCCACCCCTCGATATTTAGCCAGGAATTATTTGGATATCGAGTTTGGACGTAAAAAATATCGATTTCTGTTGTTAAATCGGGGAATCACACTTTCGAGTCTAGATAAATCCATAAAAAAGTGTTCCCTTTATTTTATCGTACTTTGCTTGTATTTTCTATGGTGTAAGTATTATTTTGAATTTAAATTTGAATTTTATTCATGGACATGTTAAATTTCGTACAACAGTGATTTTCATATCGTATTTTTCCTTTATTTCAACAGTTTGCTACATGGGGAAATAATTATATCTACACGACTACATAAAAAGAGGGAGTCAAGTCGATTTATTGAAAATTAGCGTGGCTGGAATGCCCGCCAAGTTTAAAGTTTCAAGTTTTAGTTACGCTAATGCGCGCCTCTACTTCTAGAGATTAAAACTGCCTTTACACTTTCGATATCGGTTTCTAATTAACGACATCATTTTCGTCGTTTGCAAAAATCCAATTTTTTTTGTTTTGTTAATATATATATATATATATACCATAAACGTTATATATATATATATATATATTAACAAAACAAAAAAAATTGGATT